GTCACTCAAAGACTAATGGAGTCATGTTATAAGTCACAAATATCAGGTAGAAGGAGCTCCTACTGACAAAATTGGGATAATTTGAGCATCAGATGGAATAATGACTTTAGTCATTTGTATGTTAAATAAAAACCCAAGAGTGCAGAATGATACTAGATCCATAGATACTAGATCCATTTGCTACACCACTGGTAACACTGTATAAGCCACCAGTGAAATAACTGATTTAGGAAATGGTTTTACCTAAAATGATTGGGTGACAGATATTTTCAGCATCACAGGGTATTACCCACCAATTACTTGGCAGTTGGGATTTCCCAGGAGGCTCAGTGGTAATGAATCTGCCTACCAATGTAGGAGACACAAGAGACATGGGTTATATCCCTGAGTCAGGAAGATCCCCTGGAGGAGGAAATAGCAACCCACTTCAGTATTCTTGCCTGGAAAATTCTATAGACAGAGAAGCCAGGCAGGCTATAGTCCATGGGAGTCACAAAGAGACAGACACAACTTAGCAACTGAGCATGCACACACTTTGGCAATTGCAAAAAGAAATGCCTTTATAATGGAGACATTTGGAGTAATTACATGACTTGGTGATCAAAGTTGGTAGCATTAATAGTGGAATTTGATATCACCTGTCTTCTGATGTGACAGGACATGAAGTACAGAGTCTTATTTGTAAGAGATATTTGGAAAATAGAGCAAATATGATGAAATGTAAAAATTGATGAATTCAAAATGGTAGATCATTGTACTAGTCCTTCAATTCCTGCATTTTTAAAATATTTCATAGTAAATTAGGAAAAATGATTTGACATCTGTATTTTTTGGAAGTACTTGGAAGAATGTTGTTTTTGTTGTTGTTTAGTTGCTAAGTCATGTCCAACACTTTTGTGACCCCATAGACTATGTAGCCCACCAGACTCCTCTGTCCATGGGATTTCCCTGGCAAGAATACTGGAGTGGGTTGCCATTTCCTTCTTCAGGGGATCTTCCTGACCCAGGGATGGAACCCATGTCTCCTGCATTGGCAGGAAGATTCTTTACCACTGAGACTCCAGGAAAGCCCACTACCAAGGACAAACTGTTGAACTTAAAATACAGGTTAGAAAATATATATATAACTATTTTTGTAAAATGTGGTTCATACACTAAAAATTAATGTATTTGCATACTTATGTTCATAGCAGCACTATTTACAATCCCAAAAGATGGAAACAACCCAAGTGTTCATCCTCGAATGAATTAATAAAAAATATGTGACCTATACATTCAGTGGAATATTAGTTAGGCTTATAAAGGAAGGAAATTCTGACTCATGCTACACTATGGATGAATCTTGAGGACATTGTGTGAAATGAAATAGCCCAGTCACAAAAAGGTATGATTCCACTTATGTGAGGTACTCAGAGTAGTCAAGTTCATAGGGACAGAAAATAGAATGGTGCTTGCCAGGAGCTGGGGAAGGAAGAAATGTGGAGTTGTTTAATGGGTATGGCGTTCCAGTTTTGCAAGATGAAAAGAGTTATGGAGATTGGTTGCACAACAATGTGAAAGTACTTAACACCACTGAACTGTACACTTAAAAATGGTTAAGGTGTTAGATTTCGTGTTATGTGTATTTTACAATTAAAATTAAAATTGAGAAATCAGAAGACACACATGCACAGGGTTGTTATTTCTGTAAATTAGAGTTTCAGTTTTTAGGGAAATGGATTTTTCAGGAAACAACAGAAATTGTCCATGCAGCCTGAGAATTTTACCAGAAGCCACAAAAAATAATTTGTCCCACAAGGTGAGAGGCAAAATGGTGCCTGGGCACTCCTCTGCAGTCGGGCTGCTGTGGAAAGCTTGGCCTGCCGACCCCTCCGCTGGGCCTAGAGAGCCTGAGATCCCGGCGTCGGGCCTCCTGGGAACAGTGCTTGGCTTGGTGTCTGGCCAGCGAGGAGGCTGAGTTTGCAGGCTGTTTTCAACCCAGGGCTGGCCTGCCTGCCTCGTCCTTCACACCCATTCTAGCCCCCCACCTTGCTTGACTGCAACCCAGGGGTGTGGTTTGTGACTCCTGTCCTCACAACTTCCTTCTCTTCAGAGCCAGGCTTTGATCTCACCTCCCAGGATCCAGTTTCTGTTGAAGTCTGTTACTCTTTCAGATCCACGGGTTATTACCCACACAGCATCCCAGACAGATGATTCATTTCAACCCTGGCTGATCTCTGCATTGTGACCTTCTGGCTTAATTGGGCTCCAGGCCCCTTTATCCTGGTTGTGGTAGAGAACCCACATCTTGACTGTGAATATGTTCATATAAACATACAAGCCATGAACATCTTCTTTTCCAAAACTTTGAATGGGGCAATGCTAACGTTAATATCCATATGGAATTTTGAAAAGATGATTATACAGTTCTATTTTGTTTCCCATTCAATTAATATTTTCTGTTTTACTTAAGGCACTGTCAACATAACATCAGTATCAGACTATGCCCTCTTTTTTTTTCAAATTAAATATTTTGAAAACTTAGAAAAGTACAGAGAACATCATAACAAACACCTGTGTTCAGACCACCCAGAAATAACAAATGTTAACCTTTTGCAGTGATTGTTTCAAGTCTAGAATTCTCATTTTTAAATTAAATTTTACTTCTGTGTATGGACAGAGCTGGCCTTGGGCAAACAGTGAAGTTGGCAGAGCTCCTTTTCTGCTTCCCTCCCCTCCTGCCCCACAGGTGACTGACAGGCGTCCATCCGTGCCCTCGGCTCTGCCGCGGTCTGTGTGGTTCCTCTCTTAGAACAGCTGTGTTGGCAGCTGTTCCTGGGGCTCTCGATGGAACAGTGGAATCCTCAACTGTATTAGAAATGAGCCCTGGTTATGAGTCACACAAAAAGTTCCAAGCATAAAAAGGAAAGTTATTAGAACAAAGGAAAGATCATAATTTTGCAGATGGATCTGTAGGCACTGGGCCTCAGAGAGTATGAAATACATTCAGAAAATGAATAGCTGTTGGAATCCCAGCTTGTTCCTGCTTCTCTGTTCCTTCTTTACTTTTAGTTCACCTATTGCAAATTAGCCTCTCATGACTTCTGAGTTTACGTATGACACGAGCAGCCATGAGAAGTGACTGACTAGTAGACGTTTGGTATCAATCCCACACGTCTGAATGAGAGACTGTCTGGTTGTTCCCCCACCTCCCCACCCCTCCCCAGGTCAGATGGCCCCCTGTGGTCTATGAAGCTCTGTGGAGGGTGACCAGCTCACACACATAAACATGGCTGCTAGGCTTCCACTTTTGTGCTCATGTGGATTCTCAGGCTGAGTTTCAAGAAGGAAGCCCCTCTTTCCTGCACCTGGCTGCATATCTTTCAGTTGCATACAGCTAGAGTATCAATCAAAGCTTAGGAATGACTGTCTAGCCTAAACACATTAAACTTGGGGAAGCACAATAAGATGAAGCTGATGGTGAGAGAAGGAGGATGGAGACAACCACTCCTCAGGCCGTACAGCATAGGTGCTGCTCTCACTGAAAGGGTCATGGAGCAGGATTTGTGTATGAACAAGGAATCCACTATGATGACTGGACTGTGCTCTAAAGTTGATGCTAATATTTCTGTATTCTTTCCATGAATGTTTAGACTCTGATGTGCCACAGTCTAACTCCAAACTCCTCCAAAGGACTTATAGTTCGATGTGAACCCTGCTTCTATATGAGAGATTTGCTCCACTTTTGAGCAATAGTGCATAAAATGAACACTTCTGTTTCTTCCTCCAGTCCCTCACACTTCTCAAAGTCTGTGCTTGGGTTTTATTCTCATAAGACATGTCAAACATTATACTGGAATAAGCAGGGTCAATATTTCTAAATATGTAAAATGAGGTTATATTCATATTTTTATGCTAGCTCATAGAAAATGGAAGTATAATACTAATAATGGTACTATTTGACCATTAGAAAGTTATCATTCACAATATTGTTTTGAAGAAAATAAATTTCAACCCTTGACTTGAGATGGAAAACAGGCATCCTCTGGGGGTCTGTGGGGTGGAGTGAGCCTATGTACCACGGATGAGCTGTTGACTATTGTTATTTTCTCATGGAAAGCTATTTCTCTGAGCTCTTCTGCCTTCAGATGTTTCGAATTTCACTTTTGAAGTCAGGATTGCAACCTCACACTGGGTCAGCAAAAGTGCCCTGAGTTTTAGACTGACAGCTGTATGCATGGAAGCTCAGCGAGCTTCATCCAACATCAAGATGGCTTAGTTTTAAGAAAGTTACAAGGCTGATGACCACACAGCATGCAAGGTGATGGCGGGTGGTCTGTGAGCTCAAGCACAGCCTGGGAATACTTCCGGCTTGCTCTGCACAAAGTGTGTGCACTGGGCGTGCAGGATGAGGCTGAGAGCATGCAGACAAACTCCATCCAGTGACACCCTTTGATTGGGGTCCCTCAGCTTTTGTCCTTGCCTGTCTCAGCTCATTCCCAGTGCAGCTGCTCCTCACCGAAGCCCGTCCCTGTGATGACAGTTGAGACAGTGGGGCCCAGTTGCCTGGTACATCCTCAACTCTTGTTGTCCTGTCTAGAGCATATCCCTCTAGTCCCTGACTCATTGCTGCAAGGACTCAACTAAGGTCAAGAGTCAAATCCTCCTGTGTCTCTAAGGCTAAAATGTCACAAACCAGCTGCTAACTCAAGGCCTCACCTCCTCATGCTTGTATCCCAAGCAGAGAGTCTGTCATACAATAGGTACTTGATAAGTTAATAGGTAATTGATAGGTAATTGTCTCAGGAATATTCAGTTTTGACCTCTGAGCTTTATTTTATATTCAAGTTGTTCAGGTGCCTAGTGTTTATAAATAAGTAAATAATTGCCTCACAAGCAAAACTATTTTTTTTTCTATTTTAACAGTAATTTGTATCAAAGGCCTTTGACTTTTATGCTGATAAAAGACAGGGTGATTGCAACATAAAGTCCTGAATGTTCTCTCTTAATCTGTCTTCCAGATTATTTGAATATATTTTGCTCTATAAGGATGGAGTGATGTTTCAGATCGAACAAGCCACCAAACAGTGCTCCAAGATCACCCTGACAGAGCCCTGGGACCCTCTGGACATTCCTCAGAACTCCACCTTTGAGGACCAATACTCCATAGGGGGGCCCCAGGAGCAGATCACCGTCCAGGAGTGGTCAGACAGAAAGTCAGCCAGATCATGTAAGGGTTCAACAAAGTATTCAAGTATTGCATCTCAAGAGGCAGGAAGGGAAAAAACCATTTAAGCTCATTAAGGAAGGTAGTCATTAATAAGGAAATTTAGAAGCTTAATCAAATTGTTTACCTCCATTGAAGTGCTCACGTGTACTCGGTTAGTTGTGTAGTGCAGGGATCTCAGCATCGCATTTGAAACCCCTCAGCCTTCTAAGGCCCCCCTGTAACCTTCTCCACTTTGATTGTTAAGGGATGCCCCCAAGGCCTGTGACATGTTTGTCTAAGGCACATGTGAGAATTGGGCACCTACTTTTCCTTCCCCCGAAACACTAACTAAAATTGTAGTGACCAGATCGACCGCCATTATGTGTCTTTTGTGCAGAGATGTGAAGCTCTTCTCTGCAATGCTGTCCACACACCTTCCCCAAGAGTGTTTCATAAACACAGGCCTTTATTGCTGTGGAAAACAGTATGATGGTTCCCTCTGAAATTAAATACAGAATTATCATATGACTTAGTAATTCTACTTTTTGGCATATACCCCAAAGAACTGAAAGCAAGGACTTAAAGAGATATTTGTACATCCATATTCACAGCAGCACTATTCATAATAGCCAGAGGTAGAAACAACCCAAGTTTCCATCAGCAGACAAATGAGTAGACAAAGGTGGTATATACATACAGTGGAATATTACTGAACTTTAAAAAGGAAGGGAATTCTGCTACACGCAACAACATGGATGAACCTTGACAACATTATGCTAAGTGAAATAAGCCAGTCACTAAAGGACAGATACTGTATAATTTCCCTTAAATGAGTTACATAGACTAGTCAGACTCAAAGAGACAGAAACTAGAATGGTGGTTGCCAGGGGCTGGGGGAGGGGGGAATGGGGCATTAGTGTTTAGCGGGCACAGAGTTTCCGCTGGGGGAGATGGAAAGTCTCTGAAGATGGATGATGGCGGTGCTTTCATAACAATGTAACTGTATTTAGTGCCATAGAACTGTACTTAAAAGTGGTTAAAATGCTACATTTTACCACTATTAAAACATACTGTATTTTGCCTGTCTTCTACATTAAAGACTCAACCTGCCTTCCTCTTATAGATGAAACTTGGATTGGCATTTATACCGTCAAGGATTGTTATCCTGTCCAAGAAACCTTCACCAAAAATTACAGTGTGATATTGTCCACACGGTTTTTTGACATACAGCTGGGCATTAAAGACCCATCAGTGTTCACCCCACCAAGCACGTGCCAGACAGCCCAACCAAAGAGGATGAGTGAGGACTGCTCCTGGTAAGCCTGCAAACACCGAAGGGACAGCATCGGACATCAGATACCAGCGGCCCCAGCTCCAGCCAGATTTGAGACTTGAGAAATGAGAGTCTTCGTTGGAGATAAATATCATAATTCTTTGATATGCTTTTTTGTATGTATGGTTTTTGACTACTTGGGCTAGGTTTAAAAAAAGGAATGGAATGGAGAATATGTAGTAATATATAAAGAGATGGCAAACACAGGGACCTCAGGTATTTCCAGAGCCTGTCTTGACCCTGTGCTTTCTGTGTATGCAGGTGTATAGGTGATGTGGTGGCATATGCAGGATAAGGGGAGGGTCATCAGGGGTGAATGTATTATTACTGACATTACTGGGACTTGCTGGATTGCTGGCACATCGTGATAAAAAGAGCAGATTGACTGTGGTCAGTGTTAATATTAATTTTTAAGCTCTCTATACACACTGGCCCCCTTATTGCCTGTGCCAGGGATTGCTTCCCTGCTCCATCCCTCCAGCACTTCCTCCTTTTCCCCCACCCTGTGCTCCCCTGGTCTCTGACACAGTGATCTCTGAAAATCCCTTATGGCCTTAAGAGGTTTATGGCATGACCCAATCAATGTAAATACTTGGGGAGGAAATAAAAGGCTATAGTACAAAGAAATGATTCCTGTAAAGATATATTTTTACATGGGAGGGTTTGGAAAATCTTAATGTCTATTTCTGGGCAAGCATGAGCCATGTATTCTTCCTTTTTTCTATGCAAGAGTATTGATAGGTGTGCTGAATCAACTTGTCAAGAGACCTAAAGAGACAGGTAGCATTCTAAAAATAGCACCAAACTGGGATTCAGGAGACTGTTGTTTCTGAAATCCAGGATAAGAATTCCCTTGTACTGGAGCTCCTTTGATTCGCTAGATAGACTGTGCTTCCTCTTACATCCCTGGGGCAGCATTTCATAACCTCTTTGTTGGTCTGACTTCTGCTCATCCTTCCCAGGTCAGCTCATGCATGGCCTTCAGAGGCTGCTCCCAAGCCTGGTCTGGATGCACCTCGTAGCTTGAACAAGTTATTCTGATAATGCTTACTAGGCTGTGTCAAAATTTCCTGCTTCCTGGACACTCTGACTCACTAGCCTGACTATGAGTGCCATGAGTATGGCTACCATGTTCTGTTTACTTTTATATGCCCAGCACTAAGTGCCTGGCACATGGTCAGTGCCCTATAGTTTGGAGAATGGAGAATGCTAGCCTCTCAGTCCTTATTTCCTCATTTGCTAAATGGGATTGGGTTTGCTGATTTCTAGGGAGACATCTAGTAATAAAATTTATCATTCTATATTCTTTCTAATATTGTGTTTTATCTGGCCACCTATCTATCCATCATCTATTGCCAGGAGAAATCTGTGACACCTATGTTATGCTGAAAACAATCTGTATCACTCACAATTTATCTATACTGTTTCAATAAACAGATTTAATCGCACTTCTCAGTGTTCTTTGATATATTTGTTTTTGTGATAAATATGTATTCAGTTCAGTTCAGTTGCTCAGTCATGTCCGACTCTGCGACCCCATGGACTGCAGCACACCAGGCTTCCCTGTCCATCACCAACTCCCTGAGTTTACTCAAACTCATGTCCATTGAGTCGGTGATGCCATCCAACCACTTCATACTTTGTGGTCTCCTTCTCCTCCCACCTTCAATCTTTCCCAGAATTAGAGTCTTTTCAAATAAGTCAGTTCTTTGCATCAGGTGGCCAAAGTATTGGATTTTCAGCTTCAGCATCAGTCCTTCCAATGAATATTCAGGACTGATTTCCTTTAGGATGGCTGGTTGGATCTCCTTGCAGTCCAAGGTACTCTCAAGAGTCTTCTCCAACACCACAGTTCAAAATATGTATTATCTTATAATAAATATGGCTATCAGTTCAGTTCAGTCACTCAGTCGTGTCTGACTCTTTGCGACCCCATGGACTGCAGCACACCAGGCTTCCCTGTCCATCACCAACTCTTGGAGCTTACTCAAATTCATGTCCATTGAGTCAGATGCCATCCAGCCATCTAATCCTCTGTTGTCCCCTTCTCCTTCCACCTTCAATGTTTCCCAGCATCAGGGTCTTTTCAAATGAGTCAGTTCTTTGCATCAGGTAGCCAAAGTATTGGAGTTTCAGCTTCAGCATCAGTTCTTCCAATGAATATTAAGGACTGATTTCCTTTAGGATTGATTGGTTGGATCTCCTTGCAGTCCAAGGGACTCTCAAGAGTCTTCTCCAACACCACAGTTCAAAAGCATCAATTCTTTGGTGCTCATGGCTATAAGGCATGAGCCTTATATGGCTTATATATGGCTATAAGGCAGTCAAAACACTCCTCTAATGAATAAAGTGCTTCCTAAGATCTACACCAAATTCATTATCTTTTCTCAAAAGCCTGCTTTTCCTCTTTAAAGTCCCAGTTTCCTGGGTCAGAAGCCTCAGAGTCATTCTTGACCCATATTTTCTCCTTCAACCTTCATAAGCACTCAGTGTCCTCAGTTTCACCAAAATAGTTCTTAAGGGTACAGCCTCTTGTCCATCCCCTCAGTCACACCCACATCCCAGCTCTTAGCATTGCCGACTTTTGCAAGATCTCTATACCCTCTGTCCTTTGCCTTGTTCTAAAAACCATCATCCTCTGTTCATTCATTCATTCATAAGCCAATCCTGAACCCCTGCTATCTCCATTGCCTATGCTGGTTCCTAGAGTCACAGAGAAGAGTGCACCCTGACCAAGGCCAATATCTGGACTACACAGATGGGGGAGACTTTCACAGCTGCCTTCGAGGTGGTCCAGCTTGATAAAGCCTTAGTGACAGTGTTTGACCCACTTCTTTTCTCTCCACCCACAGGATAACCCTGCTCTATTTCCCTTAGATCTGCAATTTTGCCTTCACCCATCTCAGTCTACACCACCACTCGAACGAGAAAGGAAAGGAACCCCTCTTATTTTATTTGGGACATGTGAAGTTGGCACCCTTCATTTTTCAGTTTGTCCACTTTGGGAGTTAAGCCATTTCCCAGTTAAGTTAAATCTTCCTTGCAGAAGGATTTTGTGTCCAGGGGTTCTCCACTGCCTCCAGGAAAAGTGGAGGCTCCACAGCCTTGTGCCAAAGGCCCTTTTGATTAGGCCCTGACACCCTCTCCAGCTTCAGCTCTTGGCACTGGTCTCTCTTTTCAAATCACCACTAGAGCCTGAGAAATGAAACTTGGGTTACTTCTGGGTGCATGGGGTTTTATCAGTCACCAATCTTGTATAAAATTCTCCAGTGGCCAAAATAGTAAAAAAAATAAAAGGACTCTCGAATAGGGTAGGGACTGGTTCCTATTAACAGAGAGGAGCATCCAGTGCTTCAATTATCTGCAGATAGTCCTGACATGGACCAGGACCAGGGTTGGGTTTCACTTTGTGGACCTTCTGTCTTGTGTCTCTGACCCTTTATATTACATCACAGCAACTTCCTTCCACCCCTCCCAAGGCAAACTGCCAGGATCCATGCAAGTGCAGGGGTCTTCTCTACCCTTGGCCTTCAACTCTGAAGGCCCTGCTTGGGGACAGAGCCATCCCTCCCTCTCCCGTTGGCTCGTGTGAAGTCAAGGGGGCCTGGCCTTTCTGCCCCCAAGTGCTCTGATTATCAGGGTGACTTTCTTGCCAGAGGCTTTGCAAATTGAGATAATGCTGCATTTCCTATGACTGGGACCCAGTATTCAAAATATAAAATTATTTAAATATTTCAAAAGGGCAGAAAGTTTAGATCTCTGAGATTTCCTGTGATGTACTGAGTTTCCCATCAAGCTAAATTCCACACCATTTGAAAACTCAATACTCACTCCTTGCTGGATTTTCTTTACTAACTCCACCCTCTCAGTGTTCCCTCAGTTATTTTAAATCGCTTTGCTGGTATAGTCACCTGTGTCACGTGACTGTATCTTTCAGTTTTTTGAAGTGTGCAGATTGTGTTTTTGTCCATCTACTGAAGGCACCTTAGATGCAGGAAGGTCATCCTTGCCTTTCTTATTGATGAAAAATGACTTCAGTTGGATGAGATTATAAGCCTCCTCAGCCAAAGTCTTGTAAGTAATTTGTGAGATTTAAAGGCCTTGTGATTGGAAAGCTCTTTAAAAGAATAAATTTAACTTTAACTTTATATATGGATATCCTAGTATCAACAATCCTTTTTTTTTTTGGGGGGGGGGGCGGTGTGCTGCGTGGTTTGCAGGATCTTAGTTTCCTGATCCAGGATTGAACTCAGGCCACAGCAGTGAAAGCACAAAGTCCTAACCAATAGACTGCCAGGGAATGACCTCAATAAAATTTGAGAACTACGCTAGGATGATAACAACTGAAATATACTTTTATTTGTTTTAAAGCAGAATTATTAGTTCAGGAACATGTGCAGAAAAAACACTGGGCTATAATTTGTGGTATATTTTATTCGGGGAGAATGACACTTTTATATCGTTATTTTAAAATTCATATTGCTTTCATTAGGGCAAATATTAACATAGCTACTGTATTTATTTCCTATTTAAAGATGAGAAGCGTAATGTATTTCAAGAAGTGGGATATAATTGGCAGTGGATATATCTTCCCTGGTGGCTAAGACGGTAAAGAATCTGCCTACAATGCAGGAGATGCGAGTTCAATCCCTGGGTTGGGAAGATCCCCTGGAGTAGGGAATGGCAACCTGTTCCAGTATTCTTGCCTGGGAAATCCCATGGACAGAGGAGCCTGGTGGACTATAGTCCATGGGGTCACAAAGAGTTGGACACAACTGAATGTACACAAACAGCATTCTTGGTATTTGGGTAATCTGAGTATATGTGTTTGTGTGTGCTATGCTTCGGTTGCAGCTATAACATTCCCAGTGGTATGTTGTATATTTATTTTAACATACAATTTGCTCAAATTGGATAGCTAAGTGTTCTTTTCCTTCATCGGGGTACTTTTTGATGATAAAACAAGTACTCTTCTTATTAAAATATG